ATCTTCGCGCCCAGAAGCGACGCGCGCGCGGCGCGCCCGCAGACCGGCAGCAAGCCGAACAAATAAGCAGTGAGCGCGCGGCGCAGATGCTGCGAAACATGGAAAATGGGAAAGATCGAGCGCGTGCGACTTGCCACTCGGTGCAAGCGGAATGCGAAGATCGCCCCCCGCGCGCCGCCCCCCAGCGTGCTCGGACGATCCCGAGGGCGCCGCCGCCAACGAGCAGGCGCGCGAGCATGTGCTCATATACGGACCTGATACTGCGCAGCGCGCGCGGTGGCAGGCATATTCAGGCAGGGGCCCAATAGATCCAAGAGCGAGCAAGAATCGGGAAGGCAGCCCTGAAGTCGACTGGCGCGGCCCCGCAGTAAGCGCATCCCCGAGCGCCTCCCCCGAGAGTGAGCGACGACGACACCTCGGCGATGTGGTCGCAATTTTGCGACCCGCGCGAGTCCGCGCCCAGCCGCGCGCGATGCAACTTTGCGGCGCGCGTCGGAGAGCGAGAGATATCTCGTGGCTGAAGGTGCCCCCAGCAAAATCAATGGGTTCGCTAAGAAAGGGGCACTTTGGCAGGAAGACCAGGTAACTCCCCTCCTCTCAGCATGCTAGACGCCGCGCGCAATTTGGCCATCCCAATGTCCCCCATTGCGATGGCAAGGGCAGGGGTGCAATCCGGGCCAGGGCTGGCGTCGTTCGTCTCTCCGTCGCTCGGGCGTCCATGCCATGTGTCGCTGTTGGTTTCATGTGTGGCTTTTTTTTTCGCGGGATGATCCAGGATGCCCCGCGGCAGTTCCCGCCGAGAAAAGTGCGCGCGCCCGAGCGATGCCAAGGCGTTTTGGCGATCATCCCACGCAGCGCGGCGGCGTTGATGGGCCGCCGCAAGCCTCTTATCATAACCATGACACGTGCGCTGAGCGCTCAGGCCCCCCCCCCTGGCTCGCTTGCCCCCGCGAGCACCCCGCCAGCGCGAAGGCGCGCGAGCGGGCCCCGAGGCGCGGTCTTGCACCTCGCTGCCGTCTGGGGCGATGACGGCACGCAAGAAAAGGCGCCCGTTGCGATCCTCTCAAGCAGCGCGCGACCTCTGGAGTTGATCCATTTGCTGAGCATTGACATCCGCGCTCGCGTCGCCATCCTCAGAGATTCGCGGCCCGGGGCTTCCAGTGCTCAACCATGGCGCCGCGCGACAACCCATGGATAGAATATATATATATATATATATATATCTGACGCGTGCAAATCCCCGGCGATGCACGACTGAAATTCACGCACAGCGCGAAGAGCTCGAGACGCATAGCCCCTTGCAATTGCGTCCGCTTGTGCACAGGGCACCAGTCGTCAGGAACATCGAGAACTTAGCTGCCCCGATACGCAACACGCAACACGCATCGTATTGCTACGGATCTCAACACGTAGGCTGAAAACGTAGGCCCAACGCGATACATGCGCCAAAACGCGGTCCAGTACGCGGAGCCAACACGCAACGCATGGACGCGGACGTCTTGAACACGGGACGCGTTGCGTTTCAAAACGGGCGTATCGCGGCAACTAACATCGAGGGGCATCTTCCTTAGGGTCTTATCGGAGGCAGGCTTGCGGGCGACCAAAGATGGGGGCCCTCGGCCTCGCCTGCCGCCTCGATGCCTAACCAGGACGCTGCTGAAGACGAGTTGGGACATGCTCGCCGGGCGGAACAGTCCCCGTAGCTTCCCATGGAACAGAAGAAACAACATGCCAATCCTATACTTCGCCCGTCGGAGCCGAGCGATATACCCCGTCGAATCTTGCTGCAAAAACATGTTTGACATCCTGCCACGCGCGGTGCTTTTGTTGGCGCTGTTTGCCAGAGCCTCGCCAACAGGACTCGTGAGTGCTATGGCCCATTGATGGAAATCACGTGCCGCCAGGCGATGAGCCGCCGATGGGGCCGAGGAAACTGCCATGGCAGTGGAAAGAGGGAAGTCGCCGCGCAAGGAGGGCAGGTCGCCCACGTGCCTGAGCGTTTCTTGGAACAGGATGGCAGAGGCATCGCGGGCAAGGACGCGAAGATTATGCTCATCCTTGCGTTGCTTCCGCCAGCAGTGGCAATGGAGAGAGTCTGGAGATACCAAGTGGCAGCGCTGTTTAATGCGATTGGGGGCCATGAGGGAAGATTGACCTTCCATGCGAATCAGCATCGGGAGAGGATTCTGGAGAAGAGGTGGAAGACGAGGAAGGCGAAATACGGGAAGATGATATCGCTGCCATATTATGCTCTCCGCGGTGCCCCACGCTATCGGCACAACGAATTGACACAAACTGGGCCTCCTGGCGTAGAAACTTCCTGCTTGCTGAGGGCGATATTGTCGACGATGTTGGTGATGGTGCCAAGGTCCATTCCCAGCTGCTGAATCTCATCAGGGTTGGGGCTGGCAGCGAACCTACCACGGTTGTCAACCCCTACCCTCGAAACTGGATGCACATCATGTTTGGTCTCCCAGGACTTGCTACGAAAGCCACCACCAGAACTGCGCATGGATGGCTGCCAGAGCTGTTTCGCAATCAGGTGCCGGTTGATCGGGTCGTATAATGTTTTGACAGCTGCCTCTGTCGCGTTCGCACGTCCATTGGTCGTTCCTGCCGAGCTGTCATGCTGCACCGCGTCTGGTCTCTAGGACCTGTCCACGCTGGATTCGTTTTTTGGTAATGCCGCAGCACTATTTAGCCTTATCGTTGCCGTCGAACTTGACCATGTAGCGGTGGCGGACCGCAGCGACTGTGACCTGATGCCAGGCCTGCTTCTCCTAAGGGGGTTCCGCGCGATCAACGCGTTGTGCCGAACCTCTCGCCGCGCACATCCAACATGACTTGCCCACCCGTTCGTCCAAATCCAAATGTTGCCATAATCCCACTTGAGGGTTCAATCAGATCTACCGCCGCTGCGGCCTACCAGAAAAACAGCATCCTGCGATTGGTGCCCATCCCCGAACTCGCGGCCGTAGTCGGTGCGGCAAAAGAAGGGCCCGCATCTTCCATCTACGCCATCCTCGCCTCCAGGTTGGAAATCCTGACGTTCATCGTCCGGATGTCGTCGCACACCTTCGGAGATTGCTCTGTGATTTGCGTGGCCTGGCCCGTCAGCGTTTAACGCCGTCACATTCTTCTGGGGTTCCGTCAGAATGTGCGCAGCATCCGCCATTTCTGAAAGAAATGCGAGGTGCATCTAAACATCCACGACCGCGAAATGTTCACACTGAGGATCGCGAGGCAGTAGGCTGGTCGCGTTGGCCCGGGCCTCGCGGCTGCGACCAAGCTCAAGCTGCCGAGGCGACGCACTTTGATCTTGATCCAAAACTGTTACGGAACGACGGCGGCGACGATGCCGTTGACGTGAAAGCCGACGAGGACATCAACGGCTTTCTTAGGAGGCTCGTACTGAGTTTCTGGCAGCTCTCGTCGCCACGGTTGGGCTTGGATTTACTCTGATTTGGTTTGGTTGGTGGACGACGACGACGACGACGACGACAACGGGCGGTGACGACGGAGGATCGAGGAACGAAGTACTTGGGCGCTTAAACGAACATTGTGCCTTCGTGTCGGTGCCCCCGAAGGCCGACGCGGACATCTGGGGATCTCCAGGTCCCCCAAGAAACCATTCTGGTCGTATTGTTCCCCACATCCTGAGTGGGGCTCTTGTGTTCTCTGGAAACCCCTCGCAGGTCCCCAGCCACCCCTTCTCTCCTCTCTTCTACACTTCTCTTCCTTCTACACCCGTCACGACCATTCATACCCACACATACACACAAACTCCTCCCGTCTAAATGATGCTAAGGACATCTCGAGCCGAACATTATCGCTATCACCATCATCATCGCATTCACACGCTCGCACACCCACACACTCGCAACGTCGTCATCACTATCGCCATCACCACGCACGGCCACACACATACGCACTCACACAAGCGTAATGAGGAGGTCTCGAGAGAGGGCCTCGTCTGTGACTGAATTTTGTGACGAAGCATCGAGCGGAAGCCCCTTCCTGGAGGCTCCCCCCTCTACGTTTCCCATCCGAGGTGGCCACCAGCGTAACTCAATAAAGCGCGCACTTTGTCACCATCGAATCGCTGGAAACACAGTCCCAGTCCTGATTCCAAGTGCCCAAAGCCAACCGTAAGCCACTTCGGGGTCTGATTTTGTATGTCTGGAGGCAACTGTAGGCGGTTCGAGCTAAGCTTGCCGATCAATCCTCTTGCCCCCAGAGTTTCCAGTGCGCCTCGGCCTCGGGACGCCCCTTCCAAAAAGGTCCAAGACGCACTGGATATGGATCTAAATCTTCCCCGCGCCGACGCCATGAATTTCCTATCGCCCGGATCCCCAGCGGTCTGCATCCGTTCCGGGGACCGGTTTCGACGTAGCTTTTGTTGACCGTCCCCCGTGCCAGTGAGGGCCCCCAGAGGCGGCCAAAAACAGTGACAAAAACCGCAGATGTTCCTAACCCGACGAGGTCTGGTTTGGCTCCCTGGCCAGGAGGGTCTCCACGGCGATCCTGAGATCCGCCGTGGCGAGACAAGTCAACATCGTGACGAATCACGAGACCAGAGCCCTATGAACCCCATCTTTCTAAAGCAATGTTCGAGCCGGATCGATCTGGGATGGCCCTGGGGGCCGAAGACGGGTGGGAACGCCCCGTGTGACGAAAATTGCAACGCGAGGATCTCGGGGGAGGACGGTTGGAGTTATGATGCTCCACTCCAGCCTACTTAGCCTTGACCATCAGAAAGAATTTCGAGCACCAAGAAATCATAAACAATTGGAGGGCTTTCGCGTGTCGGGCCGTGGGAGGCGATGCTCGTTCGACGCTGCGCAAGCGCGTCGGGCAGACACTGTTTCGATGCTTCTGTGGGTGCTCGAAAGCATGTCTGGCATGTGGCCCCTAAGTACGATGGGAACAACAGAAGGCTCGAAAAGCCTTAGACCTCGCTCCCAGCTGCTCGCTGTGGGCTCGCCCCCTCCCCCTGGGGCCTTCGTCACGCTCTGGAAGGGCTCCAGCTGCCGCTCGTGCGCCTGCTCCCACTCGAACCGCCCGCCCAGGGCCTCGAGGAAGTCGGCCACGTTCGGCTCCTCCTCCTCCTGCAGGATCAGACTGCACTGAAACTGTGAATCGAATCGGATAAAAGTCTTGTTTCAATCGCCTCTCCCGAATTTCAACCAGTTCTTGCGCAGCCACCAGGCCCACCCGCGCACAACTCAACGTGCATCGACCAGGCTGTACAATCTCGGCCGGATCGGATCCGAATGTGCATCGGATGAGGCTGCATCGGCACGGCACCGAAACCGAATCGGGTCGGCTGCGACGCTAGCCCATTCCGTCCACTACTTGCAAAAAAGCCCATGACCGGCCCCACCCCCCGCTGTCCCTCTCCCCCTCCCCCCCGCCGGTCACGTGGGTCAAGTCACTCGGGTGTTGTGTCCTTGGCCCAAGGTGCACACAGGATTCTTGGGGGGGCCCAGGCGGCCTCCAGAGCACGACTCGTAGCGGCGCAAGTCTGCGAGTCTGCCACTCCCAGGCATTCCCAGATGGCGCAGGCGCGAATCGCGACGTGACCAGCCTCCTCCTCCCATCACCCCCCCCGCCCCCGCCACTCACATTGTTATAATATTATGATAATTATACGTATGATTCTCACTAATTCCCCACTTTCTGAATGGGGTTCATGTGTTCCTAAAACACATTCTCCTTCTCCTTCTCCTTCTCCTCCCCCTCCTCTACCAGACCTACCACTCCATACCAAACCTACCATACCATACCACACCAATACCATACCTACCATACCACACCTACCACACATACCATACCAAACCTACCATACGAACCCGACCATACCATGCCATACCTACCATATCACGCCCTACTAAGCTATACCTACCATACCATACCATCCCATCCCATCCCATCCCATCCCATCCAATCCCACACCTACCATACCATACCACACCAACCATGCAAAAGCTACCATACCAGACCTACAACTCCAGGGAGGTCACGTCAGAACGGCCCCTCCCACTCCCACTCCTCCAGGAAGGCTCCGCCTGAGCGAGGAGGGTATTCGCACACCACGCTATGTATCAGGTTTCTTGCCCCTCGCACTCCTCCCAGGAGGCCCCGCCTGAGCGAGGAGGGTATTCGCACACCACGCTGTTTAAAAGGTTTCGTGCCCCTCGTACTCCTCCAGGGAGGCCCCGCCTGAGCGAGGAGGGTATTCGCACACCATGTTATGTATCAGGTTTCGTGCCTCTCCCACTCCTCCCGGGAGGCCCCGCCTGAGCGAGGAGGGTATTCGCACACCATGCTATTCATCAGGTTTCGTGCCCCTCGCACTCCTCCAGGGAGGCCCCGCCTGAGCGAGGAGGGTATCCGCACACCATGTTATTTATCAGGTTTCGTGTCTCTCCCACACCTCCCGGGAGGCCCCGCCTGAGCGAGAAGGGTATTCGCACACCATGCTGTTTATCAGGTTTCGTGCCTCTCCCACTCCTCCAGGGAGGCCCCGCCTGAGCGAGGAGGGTATTGGCACACCACGCTATGTATGAGGTTTCGTGCCCCTCCCACTCCACCAGGGAGGCCCCGCTTGAGCGAGGTTCGCACACCACGCTATTTACCAGGTTTCGTGCCCCTCCCACTCCTCCAGGGAGGCCCCGCCTGAGCGAGGAGGGCATTCGCACACCACGCTATTCATCAGGTTTCGTGCCCCTCGTATTCCTCCAGGGAGGCCCCCCCTGAGCGAGGAGGACATTCGCACACCATGTTATGTATCAAGTGTCGTGCCCCTCGCACTCCTCCAGGGAGGCCCCGCCTGAGCGAGGAGGGCATTCGCAAACCATGTTATTTATTAGGCCTCGTGCCCCTCCCACTCCACCAGGAAGGCCCCGCCTGAGCGAGGAGGGCGTTCGCACACCATGTTATGTATCAGGTTTCGTGCCCCTCGCACTCCTCAAGCGACGAACGTGCTTCCCGAACAGCCGTCGTCTTCCTCCCTGTTCCTCCCCCTCCCTGCCTCCGTCTGCCGCTTCTCTCGCACGTACCTGTGCCCCACGAAGCCCTCAACATCCTTACGTGGGAACTCCGCCAGCACAAGTATAATCATTATTGTTAGCATCATTTACTATTATTACTAATCTTATGCTGCTCCCATCGTACTTAAAGACCACATCCCAGAAACAATTTCGAGCACCCAGAAAAGTGTCGAAAGAGTGTCGAAAGAGTGTCGAAACAGTGTCCGACGAGTGTCTCCCAGGTCCCGGCACGTGAAAACCTTCGGGTTTCGGTACTTTTCTGGTGTTTGAAATTCTTTGCGGTAGTCCAGGCTAAAGTAGGGTGGAACATCATAATACGAATTATACTATGATCATTCTTGCACTGCTGATAATCATCAGTAGTAATAGTACTACTATTATTATTATTATGGCCGAGGGGATTCTTTGTTGTTCTTTTTTTGTTATACTTCTCCTGGCGGTCTGCCAGTGCGAGGTACACCACGGTCTCGGCGCCGCACTGCGCCTTTGAGGGGGGGAGGGGGAGGGGGAGGTGTCGGCGCCGAGGCCCTTCCCTCGGACTCGCCCCTCCGGGTACCCCGCAGCGTGCGCAGGCCTTGCCGCCGCGAGCGCAGGTGGCGCTGCGGATCCGAGCGTGCCCTCACGGTGATTGTTCGGAGTGGCAGTTGTCCTGAGGTCATGCCGAAAAACAGAGGACACAAGGGCAATACACATACATAGATTTAGAGAGAGAGAAAGAAAGAAAACACGTTTCTGCTGTCTCTTTGATCACCAAAGAAGAAACATATTAATCAACAGCGGACGCGGTGGCACCTCGTCGCCACGGCTGGGTTCGCCTCGGAGAGCATCCTGGCCAGAGCACGCGTCGGGAGGGGTGCGGGCAACCAGCGTGTCCATTTGTCCAGAGCGCCCTGGTTAGAGGCCTCCTAGATGCATCGGCGATGCATCGGCGACGTCGGCGATGCGTCGGCGACGTCGATGTGAAGTAAATCGGGCTCCTCATCGCGCCGCATCGGAGATGCATCGGCGATGCGGCGCGATCTTCCGACCCCATCAACTCCGACCCCATCCAGGAGGCCTAGACTAGTGTTCGGTAAAGAGATGCCACAAACTCTAGACACGGAGGGTGTCTTTCGCTATATGTTCGGCCTCGGGGCCGTCAGGAAAGACCCGGGACGAAAGACCAGTCCCGGGTCGGCGCTATAAAGAAGCCATGACGCGGGGGGATTGAGGACGCCGTGGGTATGTAAGCAAATCAGGTGTCGCCGGGAACCACGTCTTATATACATGTGTGTGTATGCACTGCGTGCCGGGCTTCTTGGGAAGGCCGTCCGAACATGCGAGACGCAGTGGACATGGACATGGACATTGCCCGCAAGAGGTCGGGGGTGCAGCGGCGTGGGAGCTGGAGTGCTGCTTGCTTCCCTGACATGCGACGTTTCGACCAATTGCAACATAGGGAACCATCGCGACCAGAGACCCAGAGCCCGTCTCCCGGTAAGAGCCTATTTTTTTTAGACTCTGGCAAATTTACTTGCATGGACGGGGGGGGGGGAGGCTGAGCCTGGAGCAAGCCCGGGGGGGGGGCGCGGAAATCACGCAAGTCGAAAGGCACTTGCACGCTAGTATTCGCTTGAAGAGGGGCGAGGGGGGGGGGGGCGAACGCCATGCAAGTAAACTTGCCTGAATCCAAAAAAAAACAGGCTCTAACACTCTCCGAGCGGGGTCGATCTGTGATGGCCCCAGGGCCCGGAAAACCACAACGCCGCCCGTGCGAAAGACGTGCCCGACGCCGGGATCTCCGGCCCCCCCCCCCCGGGCCAGCAGGGTCTGCAGCAGCGGCTCGTGCAGGTCGGCGTCGTAGCCGACGTCCGAGGCCACGATCAGGGACCAGGTCCCCCGCCAGGCGGACAGGCCCTCCCGCTGCTCGGGCACCGTCCAGTCCAGAGTCTCGCAGTGCACCCTGCCTTTATTTAGGTCGGGCCTGTCCCCCGACAGGCGGCTTTTGAACGAGAAATGCGACATACTCCACAGATGCTCGAACATGATCGCAGAATGATAGAACAAATCGTCCGCGTACTATGTTGGGACTATTTTGGGATATTCCTCCTGCAGAGGGACGTGCCCGACTTAACCCTGCCTTGGCGGCCTGCAGACTGGACCCGGCCGAGGGGGGGTTCAGGGGCCCGGCGCAGCCCTCTGAAGGGGCACAGGGACACACAAAGAAATGCACACGAATACCAGCATTCCCACTATTTTCTCATACTTTCCAGATTCTCGCCTGGCCCCCCCCTTCCCATATTTTCCCATATTTCCCTGGGGATCGACGATTAATTGTGTCTGTGTGTTTCTTCCCCTCCTGACCCTCCCGCGTGCAGGCGCGCCTGCGCTAGCGGAAGCCTTTTGAAATCTTTCGGGGCCTGCGGGCCCTCGCTGGGGCCCAGGGCCGTCCAAAACCGTCTGGGACGGAAGCCTGGTCCCTGGGAGCTGGGGGGAGGATCGAAGCAGGGGGGGGGATGGGGGGGAAGGATATCGAGGAGGGGGGAGGAGGGGGGGGAGGATCGAGGAGGGGGGGAGGAGCGAGAGGGGGTGGGGGGAGGGCGGGGGATCGAGGAGGGGGGGGGATCGAGGAGGGAAGGCTGGACCTCCCTCGCTGGCGCGCGGGGCGCGCCAATGGCGGTGGCGGCGGCTGAGGCGCCGCCGGCGGGCCTGGCGCAGATCCCGGAAGTCGATCCGCGCGGACCGCCAACAGCTTATATGTCTACACCGTGTTGCTCGAGTGGTGGGCATGTGGGGGGGGAGGGGGGGGATCGAGGAGGGGGGAGGATGGAGGAGGGAGGAGGAGGGGGGAGGATCAGGGGGGGGGGCGAGGGGGAAGGGGTCGAGGAGGGGGGAGGATCGAGCAGGGGAAAGGGGGATGGAGAAAAGGGCAGACATCGGTTAAAAAAGACAACGAGGAGAGGGCGGGCGGAAGCCGGCATCCTGGAGGCCCGATCCTCCTGCAGGCCCGAGCGCGGCCGGGCGGTCCTTCCCTGGCCCTGCCCCCCCGCTCTGCACGCCGCCGGCCGCCTCGGAAGTTCTCCTCGGCGTTCCGGCGCGTGAGCGGCATCTGCCTTCGCGAACGGTCCGGAGACAAACTGAGGGGGCCCAGGGACACGCAAACGAAAACAGACGCAAATCCCAGGATGGGCCCCCCCCCCCCCCCACGTTTTCCAAGTTTTCAGGACGTTCGTCTTCCCATCCACTTCCCATGCCTTCCACACTCTCCTGGGAATCGAAGATTGGTTGTGTCTGTGTGTGTTTCGCCTCCTGAAAAAATGAGCATCAGCTCTCAGAGCTCCGCGCAAAGATGAACATCAACTCTCAGAGCTCCGCGCAAACATCAACATGAACAAAACAAACTGAGGGGGCCCGGGGACACACAAACAAAAATAGACGCAAATATGAGCATCAACTCTCAGAGCTCCGCGAAAAGCTTTTGGATCCGCACTGGGCCCCCTTCCCTGGCGCGCGGGGCGCGCCAGGGGTGGCGCCGGAGGGGCCGCCAAGGGGGGCACGAGCGCCGAGCCAAGAAGTCCGCGCGGAACTCCGAACGTTCATATGTATGTCGTTGTTGTTGTTGTTGCTGTTGCAGTTGTTGTTGTTGTTGCTGCTGCTGCTGTTGTTGAACATTATTACTTCTAAAGAATAATTATTGTTGGGGCCCCTGGTGCACGACCCCCCCGCCGCGCCTAGGCCGCAGCCTCATTTTCATCATTTTCGTGAGGAAGTCTCAGGCACAACGGGGGAGTCCGGATCCGGTTGTGTTGTTACGATCGGTTTTCCCTTGCAAAAGATAAGCTAAAGTGGACATGTTTGTTCTAACATAACCAAACTTCAAGAATCCCTTGCAAAAAAAAGTATAGTGGACATTCGCGCGCGCAAGACGAAATCCTTCCAAAACCTTAGTTTTCGTAGCGATTTTAACATAAAAACATCAAAAAAACCAATGGTTTTTCCAAAAAAAAAAAGAAAAAATTTCATCCCGCGCGCTCTTGCGGATTCGTGGGAAACCCAACACTTTTTGACCATTTCTGTCAAACGGGCTTTTGCGAGCAACTTTTTCACGTGCTTCGAACTTCTGCAACAACGGTTGCGCACCTGCCAGGGCCATCATCCCTGTCAAATAATATCATGCGGGACACATTCGTTTTTTCTTCGCGCGCGCACGCCGTCGTCGTCGGCCGCGGGGCCCTGAATAGTAGCCACGGTCGTCCGCATGCCACGAAGTGAAGTGTCCGAACGTCATAGGGCGGGAAGCTGGGTGTGGGTGGTGGCGAAGAGTCGTTTGGAAATTTGGTAGAGCTTGAACCGGCCCCCCCACAAAGTGGGGGTATTGCCCGCCTCCTATGAAAACCCTGGCACTGGTGAGAACGGTGTGTCCCCACGTGCTAGTAATTATTGTTGTTGTCGTTGTTGTTGTTGTTGCTGTTGTTGTTGAACTCTCACTTCTGAACAATAATTATTGTTGATCCCCCTGTCCGGTGCCCATTGGTTTTTTCAATTGAAGTGCTTCCTCCGGGGCTCGCACCCTGTTTTTTGACAGGGAAAGCCTTGCGGATCAGATTGCGTTGTTGGGCCCCGGACTACAACAACAACGGCTCCCGCCTGAGAATTCCCCACAATTTACTCAGGACCCCCGCTCCCGCCTGAGACTTCCTCAAAATTTACTCCGGAAGGGCGCTCCCGCTGCAGACTTTTTCACATTTTACTCAGAAACGGCGCTCCCGCTTGAGACTTCCTTAATCAGGACTCCTGCTCCCGCCCGAGACTTCCTTATAATTTACTCATGAATGGCGCTCTCGCTTAGGACTTCCTCGCAATTTATTGCAGCATCGCGTTCTCGACGCTCAGGAACCACGCTCGCGCCAAGGACGCCCTCGCAATTTACTTAGGAATCGCGCTCTCGCTTAATACACTTCCTCGCAATTTACGCAAAAATCCCGTTTGAATGTTCCGCCCGCCCGACCCGCCCGTCAAGGTCCGCCCGCCCGACCGGCGCTCCCGCCTGAGACGTCCGACAATGTACTCGGGACCCCCGCTCCCGCCCAACTCTTCCTTGAGGAAGACGCCCTTGCCTAGGACTTCCTCGAACGTTCACACTCTTACCATCTCTCCCCTTCCTCCCCATCCAACCGACCTCCTCCCTCCCCTCTCCCTCATATCCACCCTCCTCCTCCCTCTTCCTCTCTCCCCTCACCCTCCTCCCATAACCCTCCTCCCTCCTCTCTTCGCCCTCCCCTCTCCAGCCTCCTCCTTCCTCCCTCCTCTGTCTCTCTATCTCCAATCGTCCCCCCCCCCCCTCCTCGCCCCCTCTCTCCTGGCGTGTTCCCCTTTAGCCTCGTCCCTCCCCCTCCCTTCCTCCCACTCTCCCTCGTTCTCCCCCTTCCTCTTCTTGCAAGGCCCGCGCTAATTCCAATGGTGGGCAAAGAGATGCGTGCCCCATCCTCCGAATAATTCCCCGCCCGTTCACGCCCGCTTGTCTAAGCCCGCCCGCCCCCGCAAAAAGAAGAATCCCCCCAGAAGGGGGTACGCTCGAAGACGAAGGGGGCGGGTATCGAGGGCGTGGGTATACACGTTGCATGGCACGCGGGCAAGTAAGAGCGAACAGTCTTACAATGATTGTTGTTGTTGTTGTTGTTGTTGGTGTTGAACATTATTTATTCTAAAGAATAATTATTGTTGGGCCCCCTGGTGCGCGCCCCCCCTGCGCCGCCTAGGCCGCAGCTACATGTTCATCATTTTCGTGAGGAAGCCTCAGGTAAAACGATGTGATCCAGATCCGGTTGTTTTGTTGTAATCCGTTTTCCCTTGCAAAAAACACTATAAAATGACATTTCTTGTTCTAATATAATCAAATTTCAAGAATCCCTTGCAAAAAATAAGGTAAAGTGGACATTCGCGCGCGCAAGACGAAATCCTTCCAAAACCTTAGTTTTCGTAGCGATTTTAACATAAAAACATCAAAAAACCAATGGTTTTTCAAAAAAAAATTGTCAAAATTTCATCCCGCGCGCTCTTGCGGATTCGTAGGAAACCCAACACTTTTTAAACATTTCTGTCAAACGGGCTTTTGCGAGCAACTTTTTCGAACTTCTGCAACAACGGTTGCGCACCTGCCAGGGCCATCATCCCTGTCAAATAATACCATGCGGGACACATTCGTTTTTTCTTCGCGCGCGCACGCCGTCGTCGTCGGCCGCGGGGCCCTGAATAGTAGCCACGGTCGTCCGCATGCCACGAAGTGAAGTGTCCGAACGTCATAGGGCGGGAAGCTGGGTGTGGGTGGTGGCGAAGAGTCGTTTGGAAATTTGGTAGAGCTTGAACCGGCCCCCCCACAAAGTGGGGGTATTGCCCGCCTCCTATGAAAACCCTGGCACTGGTGAGAACGGTGTGTCCCCACGTGCTAGTAATTGTTGTTGTTGTTGTTGTTGTTGTTGTTGTTGTTGTTGTTGTTGTTGTTGTTGAACATTATTACTTCTAAAGAATAATTATTGTTGGGGCCCCTGGTGCACGACCCCCCCGCCGCGCCTAGGCCGCAGCCACATTTTCATCATTTTCGTGAGGAAGTCTCAGGCAAAACGGGTTGGTCCGGATCCGGTTGTGTTGTTACGATCGGTTTTCCCTTGCAAAAAATAAGCTAAAGTGGACATTTCTTGTTCTAACATAACCAAACTTCAAGAATCCCTTGCAACAAATAAGGTAAAGTGGACATTCGCGCGCGCAAGACGAAATCCTTCCAAAACCTTAGTTTTCGTAGCGATTTTAACATAAAAACATCAAAAAAAAACAATGGTTTTTCAAAAAAAATGACAAAATTTCATCCCGCGCGCTCTTGCGGATTCGTAGGAAACCCAACACTTTTTAAACATTTCTGTCAAACGGGCTTTTGCGAGCAACTTTTTCGAACTTCTGCAACAACGGTTGCGCACCTGCCAGGGCCATCATCCCTGTCAAATAATACCATGCGGGACACATTCGTTTTTTCTTCGCGCGCGCACGCCGTCGTCGTCGGCCGCGGGGCCCTGAATAGTAGCCACGGTCGTCCGCATGCCACGAAGTGAAGTGTCCGAACGTCATAGGGCGGGAAGCTGGGTGTGGGTGGTGGCGAAGAGTCGTTTGGAAATTTGGTAGAGCTTGAACCGGCCCCCCCACAAAGTGGGGGTATTGCCCGCCTCCTATGAACCTGGCACTGGTGAGAACGGAGTGTCCCCACGTGCTAGTAATTGTTGTTGTTGTTGTTGTTGTAAGTGTTGTTGTTGCTGTTGTTGTAAGTGTTGTGGTTGATTGTGGTTGTTGTCGTTGTCGTTGTCGTTGTTGTTGTTTTTTTGCTGTTGTGGTTGTTGCCGTTGTTGTCGTTGTGCATCGATCTTCGCTGCCGCCGTCGTCGCAGCAGATGTGTGCGCTTGCTGTTGTGTGCGCTTGTTTTCTTGCTTGCGCTTCTCTCTTTGCCATGTGCCGTCCGATTACTGGGCCTCGGGGGGCTGCAAGAACTGAAGGGGCCCAGGGACACACAACAACAGAAAAGGTTCCCTATGTTTGTCTTCATATGTTCTGGCTTTTCGTTTCCACCCCCCACTTCCCACAGGGCAGAAGGTCCACAGGGTGCCCAGCGAAACGATGGACCGACTAAATGTTTATTGTCTCTGTCACATGTTCTGCCACATGTTTGTCACATTTTTCTGTTATATATTTCTGCGCAGTTTCTGTGTCGTCATCATCTGCAGTGCAGCATTTTGTGCGAGAGCTGTCAAGAACAATGGGTCTGTCAAGAACAATGGGTCGTCATCATCTACAGTACAGCATTTTGTGCGAGAGTATTCAAGAATGGGCGGCGGCAACAGAGGAGTGTGTTACTGCACACGCAGCAGCCCGCGCAGGGCGCGCTCCGGCGCATGCTGCGACCCTCACCCTGACCCTGACCCCCCACTTCCCATCTTTCTGATGTTCTCCTGGGGATCGACGATCAACTGCGTCTGTGTGTGTTTCTCTCCCCCCTGAGGAACGATCGCATGCTTGCGATGGGTGAGCCTTGATAAAGGGAAGAAGGCCTCTGTGGTCCTCCGCGGCCCCATCGGAAACGTGATTTTGACCGGATGTCGTCCAGATTTCGACCACCCATCTGCAGCCTCTCGTCCAGATTCCGCACAGATGTCCAGTCGACCGGATTCGACGACCCCCCCCCAAACCGCCAGAAGCTGTGGGACCCTCTGAGGCTCCCCTGAAGTGAATGCACGCCTACAGGGCGCTGGCACCTGCGCACACTCGCCATGATTTTAGAACCTTGAGATCTGAAATCCATTGTCGTAGGGGCGGGGGTCGGTTCCCAACTGTGCATGAAGGACCGCACAATTTCTGCCGCATGTTCGTCCGCGGGCAGGGGTGAAAGGGGCCTTGGGACACACAAATAAATAGACACAAACAACAGGATCCCCAATCTTTCCCCATAGTTTCTAGGTTTTTGTCGTCCCCCCCACTTCCCATATTTTCCGATATTTTCTCTAGGGAATCGACGATGCATTGTGCCTGTGTGTTTTTCCCTCCTGAAGGGGGCGCACCCGCCGTGGATGCGCCCCCCTGCCGGACACATCCACGGCGGATGCGCAGCCCCGGGCACGGGGCACCGGCCGAGGAGCGCGGGCACCACGTGTGATGTGAGAGGAGCCCAGGCCCCAACGTCGCCATGATGTCACAACGTGCACCCCAGGACCCCCCTCGGGTCATGAACAGGTCATGGCGGGACTTGAGCTGCTATCTTCGACCTCTGGGGGACCTCACAGGCCGCCGGTACCTGCAACAACCGACTCGGGAAGAAGAACGGGTCTCGGGGCATCGGTCCAGACTGCGGGAGGCCGACGTCATGAAAGATGCATGACGCCGTGGTTCTGGGACCCCAGATTCCGGCGTCGTGGTCGCGTCACAGCGTGCGCCCCGAGAGGTCTGAGCCCCCCCTCCTGGCGGCAAGCTCTTCAGCCCGAGTCGTCCCTGGACGGCCCTGGGACCCGTTGAGGACCCCCCAGGCCGAACCTAGCTACAAGTCGTCCGTCGTGACCTGTTCGCCCGGGCAAGACTTGTGTCCATATCCGCTGCAGCTTGGCAGACGAATCCCAAGATCGTGCGGTGACCCCGAATCCCCACCGACTCACCGCACGGTGTGGTCACCGCACCGTCTGGGGTCCCCCGAGGCAACAGAAAAGGGCGGGCGGGCCCGGTAGAGAAAACTGCCGCGTCCTCTCCAAGAGCCCACCGCTCGGGCATCCCTTGCGCGTGCCTGCTTGGAGATGTCGTGCGTGGCCTGCTCCCCCGAGGTGGTCCACGATCCGCCTCGATGGTTCCAGCCGAGAGAGAAGGAGCACACGTCCGAGCGATGCCAGTGGAAGGTTTAGGTCGGGCATGTCCCCCTACAGGCGGACTTCGGACGAAAAATTGAAACATGCTCAAAACATACTCCCAAAAATTGTCAAAGATAGTCAAAACATCGTCCCACGACAATGTTCTGACTGTTTTCGCATATTCCCCCTGCAGAGGGACAGGCCCGACTTACTGTAAGGTCTGGGATTTGAGCACTCGCCGCTCCGCGGTGGCCTTCCGACGTCCGTGAGCACCACCGGGTCGGCCCCGAGGCAGGCCAGCGACAGCCCGACCACGCCGATGCCTCGGGGGCTGCTGGAACGTTAAGGGTGCCCGTAGACCGGGGTGCCCCCAGCTGTTTGCTCCGCGTTGGAGCCCCTGGGGGCCCTCTGGGCCGCAGGAGTAGACAAGCGCGCTCCACTCCTCGCAGAGCAACTGTTCGCCAATGGCCTGGATCCGCTGCGGGGGGGGGATTCACGATCGGTCACATCGCGGCAAACCTGTTTTTTGTCGGGCGTTTGCGAGTCGGCAATGTGCGAGTAGTGGGACGCGCTCGGTGAGTGAAGGGTGCTCTGCACCTGGAACACCTCGCGCTGTGAAACATGGCGTCGTGAAGTGCTTCGCTATCTTCGGACTCCGGGGGCCCTCGCCAGCCCTCGAGACCGTCAACAACAACGACTCAGGATGAGAAACCAGCCCTAGGGGAAGGGTCGGGATTTCCGGGGACCCCGTCTTGAAGAAATCAGGGCGTCGCGCTTCTGGGCATCACATGCCCCCCCTGAGTCAGGGGAAGGAGAAGCGATATCCCGACCACTCCGGTCCCAATAAAAGGGTCGAGACCTCTGGGTGCACGGTTTCCCCCGCGGCCGTAGGCGACCCGAGGAGGAGAAGGAGGAGAAAGAGGAGGAGGAGGTGGAGGAGGGGGAGGGGGAGGAGATGGAGGAGGAGGAGGAGGAGGAGGAGGAGGAGAAGGAGGAGGACGGGTCGCCTGGGCCTAAGCCCTTCAGAGAAACCCTGCGCCCCTGGGGGCCGAAGCCGTGCAAAAGTCGCGGCGTCGGGGGGGGCCGGGCCCGGGCCTCGTGAAGGGGGTGCTCTGGAGGACGCGTGGGTGCCTCCTCGGAGATCCTGGGAGGCCCAGAATCGCATCGAGAAATCGGACCGGTGAGCCCCAAAAACGGATCGGATCGAATCCAATCGGGAGGCCGAATCGATCGGCGATCGAACCATGCATCGGATCGGCAGGAGCCGGCAGCCGAGTCGGGAGAGGTCGGATCGGCGAACATCGCCGGGCGAGGTAAAGCCTCCATTGGGACCTCGGAATCCACATCGGAATCCGAATTCGAATCGGAATCGGGATCCATGGAAATCGACTCGCATCGAACCGGAGGAATCGAAAGGAACCCTCGAAATCCTGGGGGCACCTTGGTCCCAGGGGCAGGGGCAGAAGGAGGAGAACGAACGAACGAACGACTCTGCAGAAGTATTCCAGCGGGCCCTGCTGCAGCGCTGTGGACTCCGAAACAGAAACGTTAAAAGGGGTTCAGTGACCAGAAGGGTTCAAGTCACGCGTGGCACTCGGTGCACGGAGGAGGAGGAGGAGGAGGAGGAGGAGGAGGAGGAGGAGGAGGAGGAGGAGGAGGAGGAGGAGGAGGGGGACTTCTGGCAGCGCCCGAGATGCCAGCCCCGAGCTCGAGGCACGCGCCCCGGCACAGCCCCGGGCGCGCCAGGAAGTAGTCCGCGAGCACCTCCCCGGCGCTCCTCCCGCGGCGAGGAGTAGGAGGAGGAGGAGGAGGAGGAGGAGGAGGAGGAGGAGGAGGAGGAGGAGGAGGAGGAGGAGGAGGAGGAGGAGGAGGGGGAGGAGGGGGAGAAGAAGGCGGAGAAGGACGAGGAGGAGGAGGAGGAGAAGGAGGAGGCGGAGGCGGAGGAGAAGGGAGGAGGGAGCGCGCCGAGGACCCCCGGCGCGGTGATGTTTCCATCGCGCCTACCCCCAAAGCCAGTATTGAAACTCAACGGGAGTTTTTTCGCTACTTTCGGCCTTCGGGTGCCCTCACTGGCTCTCCGGAGCGTCAGAAAACGACTGAGGATGAAAAACTGATCCCGGAGAAAGGGTCCAGACCTCTGGTGGTCGGCGTTCTGAAAACATCATGCCGTCGGGGGTCTGGGGAGGTCTCCTGAGTGGGGGATCGCCTGAAGAGTCGATTGACCCCAGAATTGCTGCTCTTGTCGAGCCATATGCGTGGAATGTTCCTAAGCATCCGAGCATGATACGCACGTCTCATGGCTTCGACGGACAAGTCGATTCTAGGGTAAATCGATGACGTAGTCTATCCCCTACTCGAGTGTCGGCCCATTCCCCAAGACCGGCTTATCATCCTGAATCATTTTTGACGGTCCTGAGGCCCGCTACAGCAGGAACTAGGATTAAGTCGGGAGTGTCCCCCATACAGGAGGATTTTCGACGAAACATGGGGAACATGGAGAATGCTCAAAACATATTACAACATGGTCTACAAATACTACAACAAAAAATCCCCTGACTATATTTTGACTATTTTTGAATGTTCCCCCTGTAGAGGGGCAGGCCCGACTTAAAACTAGGACAGAAGAACATCCTGCAAGAGCATGGGACCCTCCGCAGGCCGAACCGCAGAACAGTCGCGGGCACCCTCCCCCAGGATGCACAGGAACGTCCAACGAACACGAAGAACACTTAAACTGTGTAAAACCTGTTCTAAGAACGTTTCAAACATGTTAACATATATTTGAAATGAAACATGTTTGAGACTTGTTTTAGACATCTGGAATTTATTTGGCAGCATGCTTCCTCTCCATTGATCGACTTCCACAACACTAGGGTACCCTCCCCGAGCCGACCTCGATCTTGTACCTCGGTTCGACCGTATGCTTCCACACGTGTTCGCGCCGAAACAGGCAAGACGAAAGCAACATCGAGACAAACTCGGACCGAAATAAGTCGGAACTCTGTGAGGATGGGTGGGCTTAGAGGATGGGTCGGGCGCCGCGGCCGGGGCAGTTTCAGGGTGTTCTGGAACGCTCCAAGAGCGTTCTGGAGCCCTCTGGAACTGATTTATCTCGATTCTAGGCCCGTCCGAACAAACGCACATCGAAGCTGTGATTCTTTTTCTGCCTCTGGGGGCCCTTGCCGGGTCCGAGGACCGTCAGAGCACAACTCGGGATACAAAGGTGGTCTCTGCGAGAGGGTCGGGACGTCCGGGAACTCCGTAGAGAAAAAGGTCGGGACACCGCACGTCTGTGCCGCGATCTGCGACGACTTGCGGCTTTGGTTGGCCTCTTGTCAGGGGGACGTAAGACCTGGGTACAGGGGACTCGGAAATCCCCGACGAGGTCGTCAAAAAAATGACGAGGCCGAGCCTGCATTTTGACGAGGCCTCCCGCTGCAGACATCCCACGAAACTCCTCCTCGTCAAAATCCGAGGCGCGGTCGTCAAAAAACGATGGCGAACCCGAGTCCTGGCAAACCCGGGTCTTACGTTCCCCCGATCTTGGAGCTGGGGCGTTTATCCACCGAGTTCTTTCGGTTGCGAGCTCCTCCCAGCGGCGAAGACTCACCGTCGGAGGAGGCCAGTCCAGGCAGCGGCGGCCCTCTCCGGCGAATTTCTCTTTTGTTGGTGTCACCCTTGGCCGTCCCGTATTTACCGCACCCGACACATTGGGGTTGATGGATTTTAAAAGGGGCCCAGGGACACACACATAAAGACGCACAGATAACAGGATTCCCCATATGTTCCAATAGATTCTGGGTTCTTGCCCTCCCGACATTTGGCGCACCCGACAAATTGGCCGTCCCGTATTTGCCGCACCCGACACATTGGGGTTGTTAGATTGTTCAAGGGGCCCAGGGACACACACATAGACACGCACAGATAACAGGAATCCCCATATCTTCCCATAGATTCTGGGTTCTTGCCCTCCCCCCCCCCCTTCTCATATTATTTCCCCATCTCTTCCTGGGGATCGACGATTCACTGTGCCTGTGTGTGTGTGTGTTTTCCCTCCGGAGTTGTGTGCCGCTGAGCCCTGGGCCGCTGGCCCCGGGGCACCACGGCCTTCGACGGACGACGACGGCATGCCGCCGCCGGGCCGCAGAGTGTGCCTCCCCGGGGGTCCCGCCTCGCGTTCTTGAGCCCGGACTTGCGTCGGGCCTGTCCCCACTACAAGGGGGAGCTTGGACGAAACATGAAAAACATACCCTGAAACAAAGATCAAAAGGTGCCCAAGAATACTCACGAAGTGGTCCCCGGACTATTTTTGACTATTTTTGGATATTCCCCTGCAGAGGGACATGCCCGACTTGGAGGAGAACTCGACGTCGAAGGAAACATCCCCCTGGATCGCTCGAAGGGATCATCCCTGAGACCCGACGTTGGAGGAGAACTCCGACGTCGCAAAGCATCGCGACCGCAGCCCCGGACCACGTCTCTCTGCGGCACCTCTCGAGCCAGATCGATCCATGGGGGCCCCGCGGCCCGGAGCCCGGCGAAGACGCCTGCTGCAGAGGAACATGCGACGCCAGGATCTCAGGGACTACCTGCTAAACATCAACTGCTGGCGCTAAACGGCATAACGGCATAACGGCGAACTACCTGTCAAAAAAACACAGCAGCATGAACACAAACTGTTGGCGCTCCGCGCGGATTTCTTTGATCTGCGCTGGACCCCCCCCGTGGCGCGCGGGGCGCGCCAGGGGCGGCGCCGGAGGCGCCGCCGGGAGGGCCCAGCGCGGATCCAAGAAATCCGCGCGGAGCGCCAACAAGTTGTCTGTGGCGTTGTTTCTTCTTCGAATTGCTGTGAACCCCGCTCCACAGCCCGGTGCCGACTCCGCTGGTCAGCGTGTTGCGGGGGTCGGAGAAGATCCGTATCCTGAGCATCGTTGAACCGATCCCTATCCCCACGGGCGTGGCCTGGGCCCCACTGGCCGTTGTATCCCCCTGGGTAGGGATATGGGCTGCTGCCTTCGAGCTTCGAGGGGCATGGCCCAACTAGGGTGGTGGGATGGTGAGGATCTGGACGGGGATGGATCCTCCCGCGGAACAGTTAGGACCCCTGGAGGATCCATCTTCCTCCTCCTCCTCCTCCTCCTCCCACTCCCCTCCTCCTCTCCTCCTCCTCCTCCCCCTCCTCCTCCTCCTCTTCTTCTTCTTCCTCCTCCTCCTCCTCCTCCTCTTCCTCCTCTTCCTCCTCCTCCTCCTCCTCTTCTTCTTCTTCTTCTTATTATTATTATTCTTATATTCGTCTTCTTCTTCTTCCTCCTCCTCCTCCTCCTTCTCCTCCTCCTCCTCCCCCGTGGGGACTGGACAGGGATCGGTTGGACGATGCCGGCATCCTCCCGCGGAACCAGTACGTGAGCAGCCCGTCGACCCAGCGGTCCTGGGCGGCTCGGCGCCGTATAGGCCGCTCGCCGGGGGGCCCGAGCTCCAGGGGACGGCTCCCAGCTGAGGCCTAAGGCCGCGCTTACAGGGACGGTGCTCAACGGTGCCGTCGGCCGGCGGTGGACAAAGAACAGGACCCCCCTGATTTTCCAATATCTTTTGGACTTTTGTCTTCCTCCCCACTTCCAATATTTTCCCATGTTTTCTGGGGAATCGACGATTAATTGTGTCTGTGATTTTTTTACCTGCTGGCGCATTGAGGCGTGGTCGAATACTAGCGCGCTGAGCTTTATTCCGGGATGTTTGTCCCTTCCGGGAAGACCGTTTTAGCAGCCACGGATTTGCCAGCCTTCGCCCGGCTTCTGAGCAGTGTTTCGGCGGTGGACAAACCTACCTTTGGTAAACTCCCCTTAGTGAAAACGGCCTGGGACCGAAACCGACGGACCTGGACCCGCAAAGATGACGGCCGCGCCGCCCTCTCGCGAACCGTCAACGGCCAATTCCTTCCTCGACGTGTCAGGGTAGGAGGTCTGTCCACCTCCGATTATGTTGGGAACCAACCTGTGGGAAATCACGAGCCACACTTTCCTACATACAGTGGAGGCCAGTCCGCAAGAAGCCTTCCACAAGAAGCCCAACCCTGAGACCCCAGGACGCACATAGGTTCTTGGTGTGGGGGCGCCACGCTTTCCACAGCAGAACCATCCAGACCCAAGAAACCCAGGGCACCCCACCCGGAAGGCAAGCAGGGTGTTCTTGCGAAGGCCGCGCTGACGGGGACGGTGCTCAACGGTGTTGTTGGGAGCCAAACTGTAGGAAATCATGAATCTTAGGTCCGGCATGTCCTCCTACAGACAGATTCTGGAGGGAAAAATATAAATCAATATTCACAACTCGTCAAGAGTAATAAAGAAACTTGTCCCCTGACTATGTTGTAACTACTTTTAATGTTACCTCTTTTAAGGAGCATGCCCGATTTAACGCTAATGGGGGCGTTGCTTAACGGTGATGTTGCCTACACATCCAATATGCGTACGTGTCAAAAGAACACGACGCAACGACTTGCAGGAAGGCGCGAGCCACGCGATCCCACAAGACGGAAACCTACATCGCCGCTGCCTGCGTCGCCGTTGACGCGTCTACGGCTCTGGCGGAGCGATCGCCCGGAAAGAAATCGTGACACGAGCAGCAGCTTTTGGAGGCTCGCGCTGGCTGATCTCTTGGGTCGGCGCTGGACGCTCCTCGCTGGCGCGCGGGGCGCGACAGGGGCGGCGCTCGAGGCGCGGCCAGGGGGCGCCGGCGCCGATCCCGAGGAGCCCGCGCGGACCTCTGGAACTGCATGCTGACGTCGTGATTGGTTCCCCGAGGTCCTGGGGGACTGGCTCGGGGGGGGGACAACTTGATCAGGGCCCGACCGTCCCGGCATTCCTATAGTCTTGCCACGGAATGTTCTCAGAGCCCAGAAATGTTCTAAGCACAAAAACAACGTTCTTAGAACATAAGCCCGATGTGTTCAAGCAAGACAGACTCCGCCAGAAATGTTCTAAGAACATTTCCTGGAAACCACAACAGGTTCTTAGAGCATTGTTTGGTAGGGCTACAGGCGGGCCCGGACGCTTCGCCACTGCTTGAACAACGGTGCCTTGGAATCGGCGATGCATCGCAGATAGATCGGCGATGTGGGCCCATGATGCCGAAGCCGCGCGTTCTTGCACGGGCGGGAAACAGGGGCTCCTGCCCCGATTGGCGAGCAATAGCTGGTACAGTCGGCCCGCATCATGAGGATTGAGCGATAAGGATTCACGGGCCTTGGACGCCCATTTCGAAGCTTTCCGAGCGCGGCGCGGCGAACGAGAGTGGCCAAGGACGGACCGAGGAGGCAAGGATGCAAGGTTAACCTTGAGAATGTTTCTCACCCGTGCTACGCGGGTTGACTGTAGTCTCCTCCCTGTCTGGGGCACTTCAGAACGACGTACGCGCCGAGCCAAATACGTTACAGTCGGGGCGTTGACCTAAGGAACCCTAAATAAGGAACGAGGCCCCTTTTTTCCCATAAGTTGAACTTCGATTCCCCATAGAAGACCTCAGGAAGACCCAAGGCAAACTGTAAAACAATCAAGGAACACCGAGCCCCTCCCCAACGAAAAGGGTTTCTTCTTCAGCGCCCCGACTGCAACATGCTCCCCACCCTGCGAGGCCACCAAGACTGCGAGGCCGCCCAGGCTGCGAGGCACTGGCCCCGCCCCCTCCCCCACCCTCCCTGGGTCACGTCACGATTCGCGCCGGCGCCGTGAGCCATTCTTTGGCATTCCCAGATGGCGCCGGCGCGAATCATGACGTGACCAGCCCATCCCCCCTCCCCCCCCTCTGGTCCCGCCTGTCATCGCCGCGGGATGCAAAATTGTCTCGAATTCACGAGGCCCGACGAAGAGCATTCCAATGCGGAGAGTCTGGACACAAACCCGCTGGCCGCCTTGGAGTGTCAACAGGCTACGAGGACGGGGCGTTTCTTTTCCATGCGGCAGTTCTTTTTTCCTGCACCAGTTCCCATACCTATACGGCCACCCTTCGGGTCATCAGGAGGCTGTGGGGGGAAACTAATTGACGACAACGGCAATGGATGAAGATGGTTGTGATGATGATGGTGATGGTGATGGTGATGGTGATGGTGATGGTGATGGTGATGGTGATGATGATGATGATGATGATGATGATGATGATGATGATGATGATGATGATGATGATGATGATGATGATGATATTCCGAACCCGAAACCCAACCGATAGCCCTCTAACAACGATCTGGACACCTGCGAGACAACCGCGGGACAACCACAGGATCACTGGGAGACCGTTGGGGTACTATTGGGACACCATCGGGACACCATCGGGACACCACTGAGAGAAGCACTCTCCCTACTTGTTGATCTGTCCATCTCACGGTACAACCATCAGAACAACCCTCGGGGCACCATCGGTCCACGATCGGGACACCATGTGGAGGCCACCGGGAAAACATCGGGGCACCAAGGGGACACCGTCGGGACACCTTCGGGACACGATCGCGACACCATTGGGACACCATCGGAACACCATCGGAACACCATCGGGACGCCATCGGAACAGCATCGGGACACCATCGGGACACCGTCGGATCACCATGCGGACACCATCGGGACGCCATCGGGATACCATCGGGACACCATGTGAACAACATGTGGACACCATGTGGACACAATGTGGACACCAGCGGGACACCCTCGGAACACCGTTGAGACACCATCGGAACACCATCGGAACACCGTCGAGACACCATCGGGACACCAACGGGGCGCCATCGGGACCCCATGTGGGCACCATCGGGACACCATCATAACACCATCGGGACACCAACGGGGCACCATCGGGACACCAACGGGGCACCATCGGGACACCATCGGGACACCATCGCGACACCATCGGAACACCATTGAGACACCATCGGGACACCATCGGGACACCATCTGGACACCATCGGGACACCATCGGGGCACCATCGGGCCACCGCCCGCCAACCAGGGGGAGGGCGCAACATCATTTGGACCGGCTTCGTCCTTGCAACGGGACACCATCGGGATACCTCCGGAGGAGGAGGGGGAGGAGGAGGAGGAGGAGGGGGAAGAGGAGGAGGAGGAGGAGGAGGAGGAGGAGGAGGAGGAGAAGGAGGAGGAGGAAGGACACCATCGGGCCACCTCGGGGAGGGCACAGCATCATTTGGCCGTGTTTCGTCCGAGCAACGGCGGGTGCAGCCCTCTTGCCCGCGCACGCAGACTCGCCTCGCCCGCAGACGAACACGAAACCGAAATCAATCTTCTGGTTGGGAGTCTCCGTTCCACTTCGATTTCACCCCCCGACCTCTGGTAAGTATCACTATCAAACGGTCTCACCATCAAACGGCCTCGCTATCCATAGCACAATGTTTCCCACTATCATGGACACCGTTGATACACCATCGGGACACCATGTGGGCACCATCGGGACACCATCGGGACACCATCGGGACACCAACGGGGCACCATCGGGACCCCATGTGGGCACCATCGGGACACCATGTGGACACCATCGGGACACCATCGGAACACCATTGAGACACCATCGGGACCCCATGTGGGCAGCATCGACGCACCATCAAGACACGATCGCGACACGATCGCGACACCATCAGGACACCATCCGAACACCTCCAAACCACCGCCAACCAACTGGCGTGACACTCACGGGCCACCCCCTGCGAACTGGAGGAGGGAGCAACATTGGGCCCGGTTTCGCACTAGCAACTGCGAGTTCGTCCCGCTCGCCCGCCCATGCAGCTTCGCCTCGCCCGCACGCGCGCACGACAAGAAACCGAAAAAGAACTCCTGGTGGGGGTTCTCCGCTTCACTTCGATTTCACCCCCCAACCTCCGATTTGAATTCCAACGTTTTAATGCTTGCAATCCGCGCGAATGGTGGGCGAACGCCCATGCCGTCGTACACCGTCCCCGTGGCCACACCCCCAAAAATGATGAGGGCGCCGTCGGACACATCATGCCACATACTCGCGCCCCCGAGACCACAACCCCGTGTCACTCCGTGGAAGGAGCGCGCTCCCGAGGCCACACCCAGGACAAATGAGAGCGAACACCATCCCCGAAGCAGGTATCCCTGGAACATTACGGCATGGCTTTTTTCACAGTCGGCCTTGATTGGACAGGACGCGCGAGAGGACACGAGACACTTCCGAGGGCCACATCGCCACAGGAGTGCGAGAAGACACGTGTCGCGAGGCACAGGACACAGGGGTACCCTTGAGCCGGCAGGGCCGACCTACCAATCTGGGCCGACCGTGCTTGGTGGAATGATCTGCCTATTTGCCTGGCTGATTCCGCTAACGAGCGATACCTTGACCTGCTTGATACTCACACGTAGCTTCGGTTACGCGGGCAGCTTCCAAGAGGCGCCCCCTTCTCCGGCGGAAGCT